AAAGGAATTTTCTCTACTTTCCAATGTTGTGCATAAACAGAATTTTTATGTTTCTGAAGCATCATTCTACTGACATTTTTTCACTTGTGGTTGCTACCTAGTGGTTGTACATAAAGGAGTTTAGCATAGAATATGCTTTGCTTATATTTAATTGTTTATCCAATTTATATCCTGCCAAAAGACTATGGGTGACTTACAAATACACAGTAAGAAGATGGAATCTGTATATTTTGTAAATAAAAGTTAAAAATTTTCAAAATAATATATGATGTCAAATCCCAGAAACTTTCCAGAAAAGCTGTATTGGCATTTTTTTTCCAGAAAGCAGATAATGGCGCAAATTAACCTCCCACAGAAGGACATTCCAGAGGGTTGGCCCCATCACTGAAAAACAATGCTTCCAGGCTTTGGCCCTGCAGTACCCTGAAAATGGAAGAGAACCAGCTGATTCTCCTGAAGTGATTCAGGCCAACTTTAGTAGGCCAAGTTAGTAAGTACTAAAATGTAGTCCTAGTTTCTCACTGAAGACTGTATTGTTCTAATACATAAGAAAGAAAAGGAAGAATCAGTAGACTTGAACTTTGCCTCAATCTTTTCCCAGAAGAATACTTCCATTCTACCAAGTAATTGCAAGAACAAAATTAAAAGACAGGACTGATGCTTAAAACGAATAGATCAGTCAGAGAATATTTTTTTACTTTGAATAAGTTAAAATCAGGGTTAGATGAATTGCGTCTTAAGGTACGAAAAGAGCTAGCAGATGGTCCAGTCAAATTTCTTTCCATTATTTTGAAAGATCCTAGGGCATAGGTTAAGTGCGGGACAACTGGAGAAAGACAAATATTATCTAAAAGGATATAAGGAATATCCAGGGGATTATACATCAGTCAATCCGATACAAATGCATGGGAAAATTTTCATGCAAATCATAAAGCAATCAATCTGTACTCACCTTGCAATAAAGAGTTATTACAAAAACTAAGTAAGTGAAGGATAGTTCTTGCCAGGCCTTCCTTATCTCATGTTTTCATTAGATAACTTCCATGATAAATTGTATGGATGCTATAGATATAATTATTTTAGCAAAGTATCCACAAGTATCCATGCATGACATTCTAACTGAAAGACTAATAAAGCATGGGGCAATTAAGAAGACAGATAATTGGTTCAGAATAATAGCCAAGAATGCTCATTAATGTTTCTTTATCAAAAAGAAGACAGGTAATGAATAGAATGTGATACAGGCTCATCCTGTGCTCTTCAACATTCTTGTTCATGATATGGACAAAGAGGAGGAGGAAATTTTTGGATGACACAACAGTCAAGGAGATTATTAATACTCTAGCTGAAACAAATAAATGTTAAAATGATACTGATAGATTAAAGAAATGGGATGGAGGTAGCAAAATGAAATTTTATAGAGGAAAATGCGAAGTTCTTCACTCAGGAAACAGAAATCACGCATACAACTAAGGAATAAGTGATGTTAGTTTGGCAAAAGCACTCATGAAAAAGATATTAGAATAACAATTGATTACTAATCATCTATTAGTCAGCAGTGTGAAGTTGTTTCCCAAAAGAAAATGTTCAGGTTTTGTCCAAAACACGGGAAAGTAATAGGATAAGTTTATTTTATTTTGGTCAAACTCTACCCTAGATATTATGGGCAGTTCTGGGCAATATACTTTAAGAACCATTTAGACAAACTGCATTAGTTTTGAAGAAACACAGGATGATGATCGGAACGCCAGGAACTAATTTAAGGAAAAGGGAATGCTTAGCCCTGACAAGCAAAATTTGAGGGGATGATACTATCTTCCAGTGCCTGAAAGGATATCTTGTAAAAGAAGATCAAGATCTGTTCTCTAAGATATCTGCTCAGTTCAGAGTAGAATAATGGATTTAAGTTACAGGAAGACGGATATTGACTGACAAGAGAAAACTTCCTAACAGTAAAAGTGATTTGACCACAGAGCCTATCACTTAGAGAGATGGTAAGACTCCTCTCTTGGAGGTATTTAGGTACAGACTGAATAGCTGTCTGTCAGGGATGTCAGGGTCTTGCACTGAATGTGCTTGCAGTTAATTCTAATTTCAATTCTATAATTCTATGGACAATTTTTCTATGCAACTGGATCAGACTGCAGCAAATCAAACTATTTGCTTTGGAACTATATTCAATATATTGCATTAATGCTGTGCTCATGGCTGATTTTATTTTAATAGATATGGATATTCTGAAGAAGAACCAGAAATAAAGGAAAAAGAACCAACAATACTCTTTTACTTGATTTATACAGAATATTCTCTTAAAGAGCTGCTGTGGTGCATTTCTTTCTCACCTTGCAAAGTAAAAATCCTGGTCAAGTTCATTTGGATTTGCAGTTAAAATTACTATTTGTTTTATCTCTTTCTTATTCCCTTACTCCTCCCCTTCAATCACAAATTAATTCTTCGCAAGCCTCACTGACTGTACTTTTCTCATTAAATGTATATTACATGTCTTGAATTTCTAAAAATATTAGATATTCTTTCTCAATTACATTTTCAAGACAAGAATAATTTACCGACTTTTAGTACTGGTATATTGAGTCTGATACTTTTCACATGTGAAGTCATACATCCGCTTCTTACTTTGTGAAGCATCTCAAAGTCAAGATGGAACTGTTGTCCTGATTAAAAAAATCCCTTGGGTGTCCAATCACACTTGACCAACAAAGAATTCTGTTCTATTCTATTCTTTTTAAAAGGGAAGGGTCTTTTGTATAGGAAGATCCTTGCACCTGGAACTACCCACAGTGCTTTCTAAGTGCTCATATGGTAGATTACAGGAATGAGTGATTATCTGCCCCTCGAGGTAAGCACTTTATAATGTACATTTATCATTTTCTTTTTTTTTCCTTTCCCATGATACCTATTGAGAATCCAGTTAGACCATGGAGTTATTCCTATATGCATTCTACTATAGTACACTTATGTGGGTCCAATACACTATGTTCAAATCCATCGTGGTTCACTTAGATTTTATTTCATGTTTTGGATTTCTTTCCATTTTCTAGAGAGTTTACATGCTTCAGGGTTATAGCATCATTATTTCATAGCTTGCATAGGAGTTATATCTTGATTAATAAAATTGATATTCAGCTATGATAAGTAATATTTCCAAGATGATGGATCGATGGGTGGATGGATGGGCAGTACCCCTTGACAACTTCCTTGGGCACTATAGGAAGATACTTAATATCCAAAATATTACTATGTATAAATCTGCTCATAGAGCCTAAATCTTATTAATAGCTTTAAGGGATCCATACAAAGGAGAAATAGAAAGCTAGAACTGAAAACTGGATGTAGGATAGGAACAGCCTACATGGAAAAAGCTGCAATATTTTTGAATAAGAAGATAGAAAACAATGAGCAAAATTCATGGTAATTTATTGATTTAATAGAAGCATTATGCGATTCCTTAACTTTGGTTGCAATTTACTCTGTTTGCATCAACAAACTTCAGAATTAGATACACTGAATATTCCTATTTGTAACAACAGAATGCTATTTCTATTGTAAAGGTCAGTTCAATTAACAGTATTCTGAAAAATAGCTCTTAGAATTATCTTCATAAATTACCATACCAAATAGTAAAGAGAGTTTCGCCCTAGGTTCGAACAATTACTAAAATAATCCATCATATCAACATTTTAGTGATGTATTTCTATTAGCATTGCTATATTAAAAGTGCATTTTAAAAAGACATAAAATAAGGAAACAAAAGGCAATCCATAAAAGACTTGAAAAATTCAGACAGCGTTTTTGTTGTATATTGGAACTCAGTATGCAGTATGAGGTGTTACACTGCAATACACAACAAAAACTCAGAGTTTTTGTTCTTTATTGCAGTATAACACTCATGCCAATTGGAGTGTCCACAGTACAGAAACAAAAATCTGAATCCTGTATAAATATTTCTTCAGCATCAGATGAAGATGTTCTATTGTAATTTCTCTGACTTTTCAGTTTTAAAAGCATGGTTTACGCAGGCTGTTAGATTTTGGATATTACCATTACTTTCATTTACTTTTATTTTATTTTAACTTACTTTGAATGTTATGCTTGTTTTGTATTGTTAAAATATACTCATGTTTATCCCAAAATTGCAATTTTTATTTTTTCTATATTTCATGCTTCTTTTAATATATATCATTGATTCATACCTTGTTCATGAGTGGTATAAAAATGCTGTTAATAACCTAATACGTAGTAACACGAGTAACTGGTACAACCTTGTATTTATTCTGAGAAAAAGGAACCAAAGATGTATAAGAATTGTATATTTTTATCTGGTTTTTTCTTGTATGTTAATCCTCAGCGCTGGCCCTTCATACCCCTATTTGCATTTCTGTATTGTTTTCTGCCTGTTGCCATCGCTAAATGCCAGAAAGACTCGAACCATTTTATAGCTCCCTTGAGACAAAGAGTCCAAATCTTTATGTGACCCCCACATTTACAGTCTGTCAAGACAAAGCTTTTAAGCATATCCTTCTCTGCTGGTGCTTTGCATACAGAGCTACAGGAAGATTAATTCTCTGCTTTCTTCAAAGCAGTCAGAATCATGCTGATGCTTGAACTTCCTGTTAAAGGCAAAATGATTTATCATCTTTTGTCCCTTAGCTTGGAAATGGCTTCCATTGGGAATGAGATGATTTAGATTATTGGGAGAAGACATTTAAATGTTGGACAATATGTAAGACTTATATTTAGCTCCTTTCAAATGTATTTATTTGCGCGCGCGCGCGCACACACACACACACGGAGGAGTTGGAGTCAGTATCTTTAGGTTGCATAATAAACATTGTCTGTCATTCAATGATATTTTGGTAGTCCTTTCTTGCCGGTTATCCTAGATCACTGGCAGGTGCAACATTTCTGTCTAATCATTTTACATTCATCAACCAGAGAAACATTTCTCTTGACATAAACAGCTAGGGAGTAAGATGTCTTACCTGATTTTGAACTGATCTCTTCGAATTGTTTTAGTTTCAAAAGATTCTGCATGAGGATTAATCAGGTTGATGAAATACTCAGTAAACAATCCACCATTCTTATCTAGTTTGCAAACCCTAAAAAAGAAATTTGAAATTTGTTTTTATTATTACACTATGTTCATGCAAATAGGAAAGTGCACAGACTAAATATGCACCATCATGAAATTATTTATGATCCAGTTAATGGATTTATCATAGCATCTGTATTCCTTTAGCACACAGTGGGATTATAAATTTTTTTAGTCTTGAACACTGGAAATCAACATAGTTTGCTGACTTCATCTGCAGTGCAAAATTATGTATTGAATAGTTGAATTACAAGCTTCCAAATAGTTTTTCTCCCTTTTTTTTCACCCTCAGGACATAAGCCATAATTATATTGTAAAAATAAAAATATGGATAGTGGATGAAAAACAAAATTCACTAGAGATTTATCTGGCAGAATGACACACCAGAAATTTATTGAAAGTTTCTTAACGTGAAACTTTTCTATTGCAATTCGTATAGACTAGACCCCTATTAAGCATATTATGAAAAATAAACAGCGTGCTGAATTTCAGATGCTAGCCATTTTAATGGTTAGGCATTGTTTTTTTTAAAAAAAAGTTGATTTTTTTTACCAGGTTACCTTTACCAGGATGGTAAGGAAATACAGCCAGATAGGTATGGTAAATTCTACTTTATTGTAAAGCTACATTAACAGAATCTTGCAAGTCTGAAAATACAATTCTTCCGCCATCATCTTTACAATCTAATAACTTAGGGAGTGTTATGCCTGAATCTCTTTCTCTGACCATTATGCAGCTGTGGGCTCTGCTTCCCCTTATCTTGTCTGAAGTTGTGTAGGGTTTCCTGCCTAAGCAGGGGGTTGGACTAGAAGGCCTCCAAGGTCCCTTCCAACTTTGTTAAATTATTATTAATTATCTGACCATTCCCTATACAACATGTCTTCCCATGTCTCCCAAAGTTGTTCCCACATACCATTACATTCTCCTATAATTCATATGTTGTTGTGCAGGTATTTTTCCTGTGTGTGTGTTTTTTTTTTTAAATCCTTATACAAAGGAGGGGTAGATTATTTAAAGAATAAATACATTACAACCCAGATTAGTTCTGATGGCCACCACCATCATCCCACTTGGTAGCCAGCTTGCATTTAGGGCTGTTTGCAGAATCCTGTGGTCATATGACTATGATTTATGGTATTTACTTCTGAAAACTGGCTTTTACTTTCAGTTTCTGGCAAAAATGTCCATTGCAGACAATGGGTTCAATTAACAACCATGGTGATTGGCTTAATAATCACCACAAAACAATATAGTGAAATTGGGTCGGTTAGGTGATAATGACTGACACAACCTACAACCATAATTCCAGGTTCAGTTATGGACCTAAATTGAGGACTACCTGTACTAGATTTCAAATTGATGTCTCTTTTTCTCGGGTGCCTGCAATTTTCTTCTTCCAAAGCAGTTCTTCCCCAAAAGCTCCCAAACTTTTTATTCTAGACAAAATTTAGACTTGCACCAAAGGGAAAAAAAGGTAACAGAAGGTAGAGTGATATACTTGTTTGATAATGCACAGCAACCAGAATACAGTCTCTGATACCTTAACTTTTTAAAGTATATAAAGAGCTAATTTTTGTATGTTTGTGTGTGGCTTTACTACTTCTTATATTTTTCCCACACTAAAATGTGATAGCTCTGAACAGATTATGACCTTGTACCTGATTCTATAAACAATAACTTGAAAGGATAATGTTCATGCCACTTTCATGCTTGATGGTGAAAAGGAGAAATTTTAAACAATATTACAGTTCTGAATCAGCAAGAACAATAAAACTTGGGAGCTTAGTTGGCATTTGATCAGCCAATTGCCAGGAGATACAATATATAATACTGTGCCTCCAGTCTGTCACTGAATCTCACTGTGATGTTTCTGCTCAGTTGGGGCAGTAATGCTATAAAATAATTTCTAAGCTAAAATATACTAATCTGCCAAATGTACCCTTGCATCATTTGTAAAGAATTAAAATCACCAACATAAATTACTGCCATCCTTATTGACATCTTGTACAGTTCTGAAGATATGAATAGCCTACTTTGGTGTCATTATCAAAGGAAATGCCCTTGAGGTCTACAGTTAATCAAGGATGCTTTGGGCTCTATAATTGTTTGTTTGTTTTCTTCTGTTCAATCATATCTGATTCTTGGACACTGACTGGACAAATCCCTGATGTTCTCTTGGCAGGGTTTTTCAGAAGTGGTTTGCTATTGCCTCCTTCTTGGGGCTAAATGGGTGTGATGGCCCAAGGTCACCCAGCCTAGGGCAGGACCCATGGTCTCCTGATTGCATGGTCTCTTCCTGCTCCTCATGCATTACATCAAACTAGCTCCTCATCCACTGCACCAAACTATCTCTTAATATGTAATAGTAACAGCTAGAAATAAAGGGGCAGCAGTGCCAATATTATAGCCATGATCTGATGGGTTTTGGTATTAGTATGTTTATAGCACTCATTTTTAGAAATAACAGACAGAGCTATATGATCAATGTCTTGCTTGCCCCTCAATTGAGTTACTGTTAACACTTTCAACAGAGTTGCTGCTAACCTGTGTTCAGTATTTTCAACTTGCCCAACTTCTTCAGCCAGAGTATTACTACAGAAGATATTACTCTTTCTTATAACTTCATTATCTGTTGTTCTATTTGAAGACACCAATCAGTTGTAGTGGTTATAACATAAACTTGGAACCTAGTGCTTTCAGAGGCTGCATTCTCCTATCAATGAACTGCAAGTGTTTTAAATGACTCAAAAAAGGTTATTTTCTCTGACCCAACAAAACCAAGACATGTCTGGTGAGAAATTTTTGGCGGCTGCTTTCAGCTTCTTGTGGCCTCAGATAAGAGGCCAACTTAACACTAATTTAAACTAAATATTAAAAGCCTTGTTAATGAGGTTTAATTTCCCTAGAAGAAAGTCTTGCAATGCAAGGGTGGTGGGGTTTTTTTTTTTGTAGTCATAAACAATCTGACGGATAAGTATTTACAGCATTAATAGGTTCCTGTTCCTATCATGTTTCTGGGGAACCCAGAGTATTACAGGATTTCCTGCAAGCAGCAAAATTCCAGCACAGATTTTCATTCCATCTGTCCCAATATTTTTTATATATATTTCACCCACTCACTCCTGTACTAGTAAGGAAGATTTTATTTATTTATTTATTTATTCTTTCAAAACATTTATATAGTTGCCCATCTTTCAACTAACTCTGGGCAGTTCCCAATCAAAATTTTAAAAACATGTGAAATAAAGAAATGAATTGTATCTGCTTATCACTAATGCTTTTTTCAGAAATCCAGCTTTCCAACGTATACCAGTATACTAGTAGCCATCTCTTGTTTCAAGACTTAATAGGGACCACTTGAGGCTTCTCTCAAGGAAAGTTCTATTCACAGAAAGCTTTGAAGGCTGAGATCATCTTGACCAATGTTTAAATCTATAACACTATTATATTTGGAGTTCTAGTAGTAGTGCAAAGGTAGAACTATAATTATGATAAACATTCCGTTTAAATCTTTAAACATGATTCATAGAATTTGAGTTGGATCAGTTGCAGTCAGTAAATGTAGCCTTTGTGACTCATGTCTTCTTGAATATGTTTAGTGATTAGTCTTTTTCTCTTAATCTACAACTTCCACTAACCTTTTGATGTGGCTTTGAGTTAATAATATTTGTCAGATGGTGGCAGTATGTGCTAATATAGGAAACTGGTCCAGTCCCAGTTGCAGGAAACAAAAGTCCTTTGGGAGCCATATATGCATCACAGCTGTGGTGTAGATACTACTTTTTCAAGGCTTCGTTCTATTATTACTGTGATAGCTAAAATTTAAGTACTGCATAAGAAAGCCCAAATTCCCTTCCCCCGTCCCCCATGATAGTTCTGGTTAAATGATTTGAAATGGAGGAAGCAAAGTTTCATGGAACTGGACATGTAAATGTTACAGCATCATAGGAGATCATGTCATTTTTTTCAGTGCCATTAAACTTTGAAGTCATTAAATGAAATGCTGTAATAACATGGTAGGATTACTATCACACCTGAAATGTGGTGAAGACATATTTAAAAAATTTTTCCTCCTCAAAACTAAATTTCATTTAATTTTTTTAATGGCTTTATAAATGTTATTATTAATTTGGCATCAATGACTGTAGTTCAGGTCATACATTGTCTAAACCAAGTAGATTGTGTGGTTTGGATTTAGTGTGCTGTCAGATGCTAGCTAATGTAAATTGCAAAAAAATAGAAGTTGTTTTGCTAACCTAAACAACTGTGATAAAACCATGGCTTAATCAACTTAGTGCAATGTATGAATCAGACAACAAATCCACCATGGATTTTATCTGTTGCAAAACTGAATTTAAATGGACCTCAATCCAATCCTCCATTTTAACATTTAAAACAACATACTTTTGTATCTGCCAAGTATTGGTCTGAACTCCATATCCAAATCAGCCATTGACTCTCCTTGAAGTTACTTTTATATTTTACATGAACTATTGTTTACTCTGCTGTTTTAATCTGTCTTGCCATGCAATCTGTTTATTCTGAAATATACTGTATGCAAGATAATAGAGATTACAGAATGTTTGTATTTAAAACTACCTAAGAAATAATTTCTACTAGTATAAAAACATTAATGACTAGCATGTTTAAGGGAGGAAAGTGCATTCATTTTGTTTTCCTTTGATCAACTATTGTTATATGATGAATTAAAGAAAACATACATTTTCATACATACCCATCATGTTATTTGCCTTTGCAAAAAGCACAGAAAGTGAAGAGACCCTGTTTGATATAGTGGTTAAAGGCACTGTGTTAAAAACCAGAAGACTGTGAGTTCTAGGTAAAGGTAAAGGTTTCCCTTGGACATATGTGCTAGTCGTTCCCGACTCTAGGGGGGGTGCTCATCTCTGTTTAAAAGCCGAAGAGCCAGCGCTGTCTGAAGACGTCTCCGTGGCATGACTAAACGCCAAAGGTACACAGAATGCTGTTACCTTCCCACCAAAGGTG